CCCCCCCCCCCCCCCCCCCCCGCTGCCGCATGTCAGCTATTTTTAAAATTTTTTTATTTTTAAGCCTTCTTCAGAGGCATGGGGTGTGTACTACTGCCAAAGCTGGGGATTTTGACTGGGCTGTACCAGTGCTCCTGCTGGGACTTAAACCGAGAGGTTCCTGGCTGGAGGGTCTTGCCTCTGCTCAGGGTCAGACCGATCACCGGATTTGGGGTCAGGAAGGAGTTTTACTCCATGGTCGGATGGGTATGAGCCTGGGGGTTTTTGTCTTCCTCTGTAGTGAGGGGTGTGATCCTTGTCCTGGGATCTTTCCAGCATGTATTAACCACCTTTGCAGCAGCAGGATGCTGATTGCCATTGTTCCCCTGTTTTACCTGTGGCAGGTAGCGTGCTATGTCTGGGGTTTTGTGACAGGGGTGACTGTAGTTTTGGTAAGAGGGTAGAGAATGGATTTGTACAGGATGATCCTGCCTTGGGCGCGGGGTTGGACTAGATGACCTCTTGATCCCTTCCAGCCCTACTTCACTGTGATTATGTGCGCCCATGCTGTAAGTCTCTCATGCACTTTCTTGATCCTGAATTTGTCCTTTGGTTTCAGTTAGCCAGAAGGCTCCCCTAGCTATGAATGGAACCAGTGGGCTGTTGCAACTGGGAGGAAGTGCTGGGATTTATGCCCCCATAGATAAAGGCTTTCTAGTACCAGAATACTTCTCTATGCTGAGCAGATTTTCAGCTTTTGTGATGCTAGGAAAGCTATGCTTGTTTGCCCCCGGAGGATCTGTTTCTTCAGGTTAAGGCTGCCTAGCATCAGCTGAGAACATAGCAGTTGCCAGTACAGTGGCACTTTGGGGCCAACACTTTCGAATCTATTCCACGCTTTCCTTCATCCTTACCTCATCAGTGACTAGATGGTATGGGTGAGCAGAGCAGCTGCAGTTCCCTTTTAAAGGCAAGACTTTTCCTTGAAATATCAGTAGGGAGAAAATTTGGTCATTTTAAATAAATCTCTCTTATTGATGGTACGAATGCTTGGCTTCTGCAAATGTTTCCATCTTTTGGAAGGACCTAAATGCATCCTCGAGAGAACTGGGACACTTCTTCAGCTGAGTGCAGTGGACTGATGCAGATGTCATGGGGTCTTTAATTTTCACTCCTTAAATTTATTCTCCTTCCTTCTGATTATCTTCTCCATGGGGTGTCTGCCTTTTACATTGTGGCAAATGGAGTGCTGGGGGAGATAGACAGAATGTTTTACTAGCAGCCTCTGTTTAATGCAACTTTGTTAGTCCTGTGGACTAAATATGTTAATAAATGTAATCCCTCTATGAAGAACGAACAACTAGCATTTGTTTGGAGAGCTGTAAAAGGATATATACTATCTGGAAAAGCTTGAAAAACCAAGTCCTTTTCCTTTCTCTAAGTTTTGACCCAAGGGTCTTTCCTATTTAGTTCCAGGATTTTGCTTTGGCAAAAAAAAAAGGGGGGGGAGGGAGGAGGAGGAGAGGGGGCAGTTTTCAGCATGTGTAGAGAGTCTTAGCTAACTGACTGCATGACAAAAGTTGAATCTTATACTTTTTGTGACAATAATCCTGAGATCAACAGGTTGTGTTACAAGAAATGAGGTAATAATATACTGAGAAGGAAAGCCTGCTGAGTAAGAGAATACAGTATAATTCTAATAGAGGGCTGTGTGTATTTAACAGTAGGGAATAGAAGACCAAAAAACAATTTCAGTCCATTTCACACACACCTCTTTGTATCAAATTACCTGAAAATCCAGGCCTATGAACACCTCTCTGTAGGACCAAGGAGAGATGCCACTCCATCAGTGAATCTAAGAGAGGAGACAAAAGATTTGTAAAAATAAGCCAAAAACAGTCATGTATAGTCATGCTTCCTTTTCCTGTTTATGCAGTATGCGTGCCCAGAGAGCCTCGGTGCCTCCCTGAGCAATTGGCTGCACAAGGGAAATCAGTCACCCCAGTGTAGATCTCATGTAAGTTGTCGTGGTGCATCTAGTCCACATTGGATGTTCTGTCCCAACTGCACATGGCATGCAACACCTTTTAAACAGCTCTCACCCTGCCTGAAGTAGTAGCACTGCTTCGTGGATACCTACCTCACAGTTCATCTGTTTGAATAAACTATTGGAAGGCCTGTGTGGGGGGAGAGAGTTGAGCCTTGCATGCTTAAAATTGTAAATGTTTCTATATGATGAACAATGTATCCTATTTACTGTGGAATTAAATAGGTCTGATTGTGGCAGCTACAAGTAGCATATGATAGGTATAGGCAGAATTAGGCTTGGAGCAACAATTGAATTAGTGAAATTGAAACACTAATGCATTTTCTTGGCAGTGCAGTCACCCATTATGGGATAGAGCAATAGTGAATGTTGCTGAGAACAATCTAAATGCAACAGTAGTAGCAATATTTGTGAGCTGACAAGAGTAAGGCATTGTTGCCTACAGCGCCATAATAATCCTCTGTTGTACCCAAGCCCTTGGTACATTCACTGTGCATTCCTCTACATGAGTAATTTGTACATGTATTGTAAAATGATGTGCTTGGAGGTCATGGAAAATGCCTTGTCTTGTAAGCTGCTTCTGCAGTTAGGGGAGCAAAAAGCACCTGCAATGTGGAGCACCCGAGTGCCTCTTGTGACCATGCTCAAGTGACGAGAGTAAGACCAGACACTGTTTCATTCCATACAGTGACTTGGATAACTGGGCCAAACTCTACTCCTAGAAGTATTACAGAGGAGTAATACCAGTGGGCTTCATGTACACTGGTGCACCTCAAGTATATCTTCAATAAAGTAATACAAGTGAATCAGAACTGGGTTCATTGACTTCATGGGATTTCTACGTCATGCACATGAGAGCAGAATTTGGGTCACTGGACCAAATATTTACCTGGTATAAATTTAATGCAGATTCACTGAAGTCAACAGAACTACATTAATTTACAGCAGTGGAGGACCTGGTCTAGTATTTCTTCTGATTAAAGCAGTGTAAATGTTTGCTTCAAAGC